GAAACTATATTCATACCAGAGAGACTATCTCAACATAGATATTAATCATCTCTGACTATTAACAAAAAAAACAGAGCAAAGATATAATATACTTTTTTTTCTATTTAGACAAATATTCGCCTTGCTAAAGAAAATATTCTTAGTCGTGATTATAATGAATTAGCAAGTCTTTGTGATGATTATTTACGTCGATATGAAAATAATGAAGATGAAAATAATTTAATGCATATTTTATTTTCTGGTGATAATGTTAATAAAATAGCAGATATAATTGTTAAATCTGTTCTATCATCAATGAAATATGGTTCAAATGAAGGTGTTAAACGTTTTTCACGTTTATTACAAATAATTGAGTTATATCCAAATACAATGGAATCAATAACTAATCGTTTGCAAGAAATTTCTTGTTGGATGTTTTTTGATTGTTTATATCAAATAACAGCATATTTAGATAAACCAATAGAGTAAATAATAAATATTTCGATTTTTAAAGTTTTAATAAAAAATTTTCTATTTTTTTAAGTCTTAAATTATATCCACTTATTGAACAAATTGTTAAACAATATCCTCAATCAATTGTTTATCCATTTAAATTAAATTATGAAACACTTCAATATTCAACAAATGATCCAATATTAAAACATAATCTTGAAATTATACGTCAAAAATTCGATCGTCATACGTCACTTGTTAATGAATTTATTCAAGCATTAAATCAATTAAATCCTCAACAAGAATATGAAAATTGGTGTAAAGAATTATATCAATTATTAACAAATGATCGTAATACACGAGATATAAATAAACTTAAAAATCATTTAAAAAAATTTAAAAAAATATTCTTTTTTCTGATATTTTAAATTCTGAAAAAATTAATAATGAACATTCAATAACAACAACAATAACATCACAAGATAGTGTTTTTAATGATGGTAAAGATCAACGATTAAATAAACCATGATTAGCATCAATACGTTTTCAATTTAAAAATACAGTTGAAAAATATTTAGATAATTTATTTGGTAAACAAGGTGAATTATTTTCAACAGTTTTATTAACAGATGTTAAATCTATACTTACAAATCTTGGTACAAAATTAAAATCTATAGCACATCATAAAACAAATATAAATGATTATTCAACATGGTTTTCATTAACATTTCGACAACAACATCGTATAATTAGGTACACCATCAATACGTGAAATTGAAATATCTGGTCAATATACAAGTAGAAAAAAACCACTACTTGAACATCATATTAAAATAGTTGGTTTTGATGAAAAAATATTAGTTTTACAATCATTAAGATTACCTAAACGTATAACAATACGTGAACATGATGAAAATGATTATCGATTTTTAATTAAAGTTAGTGAAGATATACGACAAGATCAACGTATTCAAGCATTATTTTCAATTATGAATGATCTTTATGATGATGATACAAATTGTAATCAATCAAATTCAGCACATATTACTGTAAAAACTTATAAAGGTAAATATTGAATAGAAAAAACTTTTATGTTAAGAAAAAAAAACAACAACGAAGAATTTTATTTTTTTTTCGTATTATTTAGTTATTCCAATGTGAACTAAATTAGGTATGATTGAATGGCTTGATAATACACCTCCATTAAAAGAACTTATTGAAACAAGTTATACACAAGCTGAACTTGATATTATATCAGAAGGTCAACATCCAAGAAAACTTTATCAAGATTATGTTACTAATGTATTTCAAAAAGCTAAACCAACAGTTAAATCAACTAGTAATACAATTATGTATGCTGAATTATTTATTAATTTAACAAAATCACAAGTACAAGATGAATTTAATAAAATTCAATCAGTTATACCAAGTGATTTACTTCGACGTGCTTATTATAAAATAACTAATTCACATGAAGGATTTTATACATTACGTAGACAATTTATTACAAGTTATGCTATTTAATGTACAAGTCATTATATTCTTGGTATTGGTGATCGACATCAATCAAAGTATGTTCACTATATAGAATATATGTATATTTTAATAATTTATTATTAATTTAGTTTTCTTATTGATACAACATCAGGACAAGTTATTGGTATTGATTTTGATTCAGCACTCAATGCTGCAACTATTGTAAGAATTAAGTGACATTTTCCAAAAAACAAAAATAATAATTTATCTTTTAGCATTTACCTGTTCCTGAACTTATACCTATTCGTTTAACATGACAACTTATTCAATTAATGTCACCAATTGGTACGAATGGTCTATTTCGTGCCACAATGATTCATACAATGAATGCTTTACGTGAAAATTCTGATTTGTTACTTAGTACAATGAATGTTTTTATTAAAGAACTACTTATGGAATGGATGGTAAATATTTCTATTATTTTATTTTTATATTATTTTCATTCATTGATAGGAACATGCATTTAAAACAAGTAAACAAGTTTCACAAAGTGGTATGTTTAAATGAATATGAAATATGTGAAAGAAAAAACTATTTTTGTTTTGTTTTTACAGAATCACCTACGATTCGTTCTGATGATACATATGCTAAAGGTCGAATAAAAAGTGCACGATTGAAACTTAATGGAATTAATCCAGCAGTTATTACTGGGTATATATAAAAGAAAAAGATAAAGACTAATTTATAGATTATTTTATTTTTATTTTAGTTCTGATCTTAAATTAAATAATTTTCTTCTTCCATCAAGTTTGAAAGAAGCACTTCGTCAAATGGAAAAAGTTGTTGGTGGTGATCAAACACAAAATAAACGTGCACAAATTCTAATGCAATATGAACCAAATCGTTATCATAAATTAACAGTTGATGAACAAATTGATTGTATTATTGATCAGGCAACTGATATTGATATACTTGGTCGATCCTGGGCGGGTTTAGAAACATTTATGTAATTCAATGCATGTTTTGCGATGACATTTATTTTTTTGTTGTTCTTTTTCATTCAAAACCTTTATTTTGACAAATAAGCTTTTTTTCCCGGTGCAGATAGTTAAATTGAAATTATTTTTTTCTCATTGTGTAATTTGACTTACTCTTTTCCTCTCCAGTTAATGGTTTCGGTTTTTCTTTTGGTGGAATGAAATAATAAATATATAGACAAAAATATTTCGATCAACAAATGAATTACTTTAGAAAAACTCAAGTCAACAATGAAAAAAGTTGATTGTTTGATTTTGAATTAAGATTACAGTATTGATTCTAAATGTTCGATGACAAATATCAAGAATAAAGTTTAAGGATTAGAACCAGTTAACAAGATTTGTTAGTAGACATAAACATTATTTTGCAGCTGAAATTGATTGACTAGTACGATATGATCAAGTCTATAATTATTAGAAATGTTACTTATTCTCGAATGGGAGTGTCAGTCGGTGCAATGCAAATTTCTTTTTTACAGCTTCTCCCCAGCTTCCACACCCAGAACTTAGACATGAGGAATAGACACAGGAATGGAAATATCAGGGTAGAGGTATTAGATTTAGGAGTGTATACAATGACGTATGCATGAAAATATAGGATTATGCGTACGAGCTTATATATATACCGGGTGTTGCAAAAGTTTTGCAACATTTTTTATTTTGCATATATCTCGACTTGAGAAAATGATAAAATCTTGATATTTTTTGGAAAAGATGCGCTATGAAAAGTTCTATAAAAACTGTATAAAGAGATTCTGATTCACTTGTTCTGATGCTTTTCCCATACTCAATATGAACAACCTACATGATAGTGCTACTTTCCAGCGTAATAAAAATGTTTGAAAGGCTTTTTGTGTTTTGCATATATCTCGAATTGAGAAAATGATAACATCTTGCCTTTTTCTTGAAAGATGTGCCGTCGAAAGCTCTACACAAGGTGTATGAAGAAAATCCCTATTGACTTGGTTTGATGATTTTTCTAGAGTGAATATCTGCGTGATGTTGCCCATGGCGTTAATTTCTTGCGGAAAAAACGCGTTTTCAGAACGCGTTTCTTCATAGCTTCGAAACGCGTTAATGCTGACCGGTTTGACGAGTTTCGCATCTGCCAAAATGAACGGTGCGAAACGATCGACTTTTTGAAGCGTTATACCGTGTTGTTCACTTTTTAAATTAGGAGTTTTAAAAAATTTAAAATGAAAATTCATCAAATTTAGAGCATGGTCTTCTCTAATGATTTGATCATTCATTTTTTTTTGACTGAGTTTATGAATTATTATTGTGCTCACTTACGCGATTTTTTTATAATGCGCAGAGCTGGATTCGAACAAGGGATGATAATCTTAAAAGATAAGTATACAAACCACTGATCTAAAACAGTCAAAATCTTGAACTGTTTATTCTCTTCTGCTTCAGTTCGAATACTTGAATCCGATTAAACCGACTTTTATCTTTTTAAAATTAAAATTAAAAAGATTCTATGCTAGTTATTATTCTTAGAAAATCTTGAAGTAAAAAAGGAAAGTCAATTTTCATCAAATGAATTAAATCCTGTTAAAATAGTTCGCCGGATTATGTTTCACAGTAAGAAAAAGAATCATACGAATCGATATCCTTCTCTTATCAGCGATGTTGATAGACAAATCCCTTAATCTCGGCTAAGCGATAAAGGTATATAGAAATGGTACACGAATTATTAATAATACCGAATAAGTATTACTTATAGATAACGATAAGAAACGCATTTTGAATGTCAAATTATTTCGTCTCTGTTGTGAATATGAGCATCGCGAAGTTAGGTTTTTTTGCGCATGAAATGTATTTTTGAGCTGAAAAGGATAGAAGATATCGCTTCCATATGAATATACTGAAGATTATTCAGAAAATGAACGCTCAAAGACGTGTTTTAAAACGAAATGCGTTTAGCAGCGTTTTGTATCAGTAACGTTGTTAAATGTGTTTCATAAAAGAAGCGTTTCAGAGCGTTTATATAACATGAAGTCTGTGAAACGCATTCTACATGTCCAAGAATGATGTAAAACGTGTTTTGTTTCGAAAAAACGCTTGGAAACGCATTGATTAGTTAATGAAACGCATTTCGCATTGCGTTTCCGAATATTTTTTTACGCCATGGGTAGCTCGATATCTTCTTTGGCTGAAATTCTTTCAAATCATTACGTTGTTGTAGTCAGACAAGTTCTTGTCTATTTCACTATATTTGAATCTTCGCTGCAGCCATAACTATAAGATGATTATTGCCTTTATTCAAAAAAGAAACAAAACCATATTAATGAAATTTGAGATTATGCGACGCGATATATTATATTGTCAAAGTGTTTATATTCATGTTACTAAATGTATGTGATTGAATTTTGTTACTTTGTTAGAATTTAATCGCCTGCTACAATCTTGGTTGATAACGCTGTGCATTGGTCAACATTCGCAACACCACCACTAATACTGCTGCTGTCAGAACTGAGTGTAAATTGAAAATTAATAGTACTGTACGTAAATGGTCACGAGTAACCAGTCGGATAGGTTGTCGATTGGGAAATCGAAGTTTCATCATTGCATTGCCCAGTGACGCTCGATTGGAAAAAGAGAATAGTCGGAGAGACGAACGTGTCGCAGCCGGAGTCAGATGTATATGTACCTTCCCAAATTGGCATTGGAGTTGTTGTTACTAGGTGAAGAAAAAGTTGCAAATTTTTCAGTAAAGATATGATCATGTTGAATTAACAGAAAGAATGCGACTGATGTGTAAAAAACGGATTATTCTTGTACTTTCATGAAATAGACAAGAGAAAAGCAGCAATGTCCAACTAGAAAAGTTCATCATTTTTTATATCTCTTCTAAATTTATAGTCTTACTACTAAGAGCATGGCATTATAAGCAACAAATTGTCATAAAACTATATATCATAACAGAAAGTTTAAATGTAGAGAATGGTAATCATAAATGTAGAGTTAGTTAGTCATAAACGATGACTTTTGTACTGTAAGTATACGGGGAAAATGATCAAAAAAGTAAAAATGTACAGGAAATCTCGATTTTCAGCTATGAAACGTATGTAAAGGAGCTATAGGATGCATGTCATCACTGTCCGACATTTTCTACATTTTTTTTTAATCTCAAAAACGCCATTTGTGACCTCAACAGTCAACATTTATGATTTTAGGTCTATATTTATACTCCTCACTCTAAGTAAAACTTCAATTTTATTATGATATATAATGTGAGCTTAGATACGTGTCTTCTCTCTTCAACCACACTAGTACATCCACTCTCACACTCTAATTTGAAAATTTCTTGTTTGCTGAAAACTAGGCGACGTTGGGTTACGAAATCATTGGAAATTAGCTAACTTTTGTGTAACACTTAGCTATTATTAAACAGTCAATTTCTAGTTGCCGAGTCTCTAGTTAATGAATAGTTTTTGAATTACTAAATTTCTAGTAATTTCGTAACTAACAAGTAATCTTGTTACCAATAATCAGGTAATTTAAAGGAACTAAATGACTATTATCCACATCAAAATAAAAGAAGGGCAGATATTTTTGCAATAACTCTTGATAGGAACAAGATACAGATCTGCAGTATTCACCGTTTAACAGAGGAGATAAAAATGCATCAAATTGTTTGCACCTGATTTTTCTGACAAGTTTTCTTAGGATTTATGACAAATAAAGCACTGTGCAATGAATTCAGGCATGAGAGATGACAGAGAGATTTAGCTTTCATGGCGATAATGCGATAGCTGGTATGTCTATCCAACCAACATCCCAATCTGATAGATTCGCTAGAAGCTGAAATCTATTTTTCTGTAGTGGCGAGAAGAAGCACGTAGCCGTAGACCGAGCCAAAGCTCAAGTGGTTCAAGATGTCTATAAAGTTTCGAAAGAGTCAAAACATGTTAACGAAGATGGATGGAGTTCTCTTATGAAACAAATATGTTCAGAGCTTTACCAGCCAAGCTTGAAAAATACACATAACTCCTATTAGTCTACAAATTTCTCTTTCTTTAAGTTAAAATAGAACTTTTAGGTCTAATCATCTTAAGATCCAGTGCTCCGATGAGTTGGAATTGATTCTAAACTGTCGTCTCTCACGTGCCAGTCGCATCGGCTATTTGAAGCTTTGAATACTATCTCAGTGGATGAATTGCAAGAAGCATCATCCGATCCATATCTACAATAACGGCTCATTCTTAAAAACAGATACAATTTTTGTATAGAAACCGTGTGGTACAGATAGTGAACATAAATGTGTAAGAGAATTTATGTAGGGTATACTTACTCTTAATAAACACTCAGCTTCTTACTTATTATTCACATCTCTAAGTCGATAGTTATCTAATGCCAAGCACGCTTGAAAAAATACCAACACAATTGAATGAATATTCGTAGCTGTTTAATAAACAGTCAGTCATTTACTTACTATCAATCTTTGTAAGTGAATAGCTCTATTTAGTTTCAAGCAATGAAAAAAAAATTACCAGCACTATTTAAAAAATATTCATGGCTGTTCAAATAATACCAGCTATTTATTTATTATGACAAGAAGGGCCTAATTTGAATACACTTTAATAAATTCTCTTTTATGTCTCACATACTATATAGTTATTCATTATCAGCCTTGGTTATTGAACGTTCGTTGCTGTCTAAATAATACTCGTCGACTTTGTTTTTGCATTGGATTTCTTTCGGGGAGAGGGTGACCACAAAGTTAGAAAATACATTCACGAATGACAAATAAAGAATGTTACCTAATTATTCGTTTAGTCTCAATAAAAACGACTAAAATTAGATATTGGCCATTGAAAAATGACTGAAAAGAAACTAAGTTTCTACATTGATCAGGCGAGAAAAAAAACGTCCAATTGTAATAAATTCATATTTAGTCATTTAATCATAGAGCATTGTTATCTTATCAGACCTATACTTTATAAATTAATTATTAAGTAGTCCTTACTTTAAATATCTAATTATATTAAAAAAAAGGAAACGGATAGAATTTATAGGCACGAATTAAGTAATTAGATCAACTTACCAGTTGTATACTTTTTTAAAGAGATATGATAACGTTTTAACAGGGTTACTTGTCAAATAGGTACGTATACGAAACATAATTAACGGTATGAGGGGAGTTATTAAGAGATAAAATCGGTCCACTCCTAAAAATGAATTTTATTATTTTCTACATAGTCAATTCGAATGTGGGAAGTTAATTGTCATTCAAATTGGACAGTTAGACCTCATTCTAACTGCATGTAACTCACTCAAAACTCGATATTGTCTACCGTTTAAAGGAAGTTAGGATAAGATGTTAAATGGAGGCTCTTTCTTTCATTCATCAAATGACATATATGAGCATAACAAAATATTTTTCTGTTCTTTTTGTTTATTTTGATGATGCTATTCTTATGCAAGGCAACTTGATAGTCGACATAAGTTTTTTCAAAAAACAATTCACCTCGTTGACTGAATTAGATGCAACTGTGTAAACTCTATGCAATGGTGTATGCAGATTTTTTTAATGAAAACAAGCCAATGTCAATGAAAGTAATGACATTGATTTTCTTCTATGCGGTAAAAGAGCATCGAAAGTAAGGTTTTTACCAAGTGATTCAGTCCACAATCTGATCCACATATCAAACTTATTTCATTCGATGCAGCTTGGCGAGTTACTACTGGCTTGTTTTGTCTGACGATAAGTGTTTCATCTAGAAAGCTTGAAAACGTGACTGATTCAATGAATTTTGTTCAGTTAGATTGAATTAAATATTAACCATTCTTTACACGCTTTGCAGTTGTATAAGAGACCCTTGAATTTTTTTTTTGTGAAGAAAGGATTTCTTAAATAAATATTTTCTTTATCAAATTATATCAAGACGTTCGACATGCTAAAAACATAGCTTATTCCATTCAATTCTGGAAATACGTTTCAATCAAATATATGTTTGTAACTTTTATTAAACTTCAAACTACATGCTATGTGAAAATGTTTGATGTTTACACTGTGAATGCTGGTAACGACATAATATGATCAGATTAATCGATCGAAAAAGTAACTAGATGATGCCTTTCTGATCATTGAAAATGATTTTTTTTTCTGATTGACCACAGTCGATGTTTTCTTACAATTAAAACAGCCTTTTTGCATATTAATTTTTTCACATAACTTTATTTGTAAGTAGAACAAATGTGTGAATTAAAATAGTAAAAAAAATTAAACGATACGGATGTGCTTTTGGTGTCTGTGCAGGTATGAGAGCTGGTGATAGGTGTATGTTTGAGTGTGTGCAGAGAAGATTCATACCCACACTCCTCAGGTGTGTAATTGCGGTGAATCATCTTTATCATTGTGTTCTTATGGAGTCTAATGTTAAAATAGATTTAGATGTATCGTTTTTGCATGCTTAAGATAAAAAATAGAAGGAAAAAAGAAATTCGATAAAATTCTTTTTAACATTTTTTCTAATAATGTGTCCTGTTAACAAAGATATCACTTGGGAGCAATAAATTTTCAAGGATAACTATAATGTTAGTTTTGAATGTATATCCTCTATGTATTATCAATTTTCTTTATTCGAAAAATACGAAAAAAACAATCAAAGTTAATTCGAAACTTATTAATGATATCTAATTATTGCTATTCAGTTCTTCATCATCTCTACTGATCTAACCAGAAAAACTAAAAAGAGATACCTCTATTTTCCTGTAAACAATAAATAGAAAGACGAAAACTTGAATTATCAGCACCGTTCGATCGGCGCACATATTTCTGCGTTGTTTATCTCAGAGTTACAAATTTAAAGACTGACTCATATTCAGCCACTTGTTCGAGTTGTTGATCTATCGAGTATATTAACTCTTAACTGATGTGAGGAAAAAAGAAAAATAACACATACATACATAAAATAGATGAGTGAATTTAATGGTTCATCTAAACAAATGAGAAAGTTAACATAAATAATACGAAGATGAACAAAATAGAATTGAAGAGAAAAAAATGCATGTTAACATGTATATTGAACGATTGGATCATTAAAGGAAATTTTCACAAACTTAAAATATTTTCTGACAATAACAATGTGACAATATCAAAATCATTCAGAACCAGAGTACTTGATGTATTGAATTATTCTTATGAAATAATGACTCATGACATCTTACAGTACATTATCAAGTGAGATTAAATAGATGAAAACTCATAAGAACGCGTTTCTTATTGATTTCAATGTCTCCGTCATGAATTTTGCATTTGTATTTGCTTATCTAACAAGAGACTGTTGTCATGAATATGCTCTAAGACTTTTTTACCACTTATTCCGACAAAAATTATCAAGTCATGTAATTAGTTGAAAGCATCAACTAATGCAAGATATGTGAAATAAACTGTACAATGGAAACGAAGAAAGAATGAAAAGAAATTTTCTCAGTTTTGATTTATAACCCATTTATTTATCTAGTCCGAGCAAAAACGAGGAAGCGTGCATACGAGTGTTGATGGGGATGAATGTATGCCTATGGCGAAACTAAAGTCCATACTACATCCAAATTATATATGGGTAGCGGTAAGCTTGTTTTAACAATTAACAATCACAAGCAGAATTTTCTCCGTAGCACTATATAAGTAAGAAAAAAGAACGACATTTTTTCTTTCTTTCCACTCGTTGCAGAGAGACATTTAATCGTGTTTTTTTGCCATCAACAAAACAGTCATGGTAACTCCATGCAAATAGAAGTGACTGAGTGTTGTGCAATGCTAAATTATTACTATGTGCAGTGAAATACAACATTGGCTGTGTTGGCAATTGAAACACTTATAGAAAGCCTTGATATTCATATTTACTCTCTGATTTCATTAAATTTCGTTTGACAAAATTCAAAAAGTAGGTGCTGAAAAAGAATCTTATTCTTTTTTACGTCACAAGACATTGACTTGTGTTAAAATGCTTCTAGAAAAACCAGTAATGTCAAACTTGATAGTTGAATTTAGTTATTGAGCTTCAGTTCAAGTGTTTTACATTGAGAGCGAGATGTATGAGTTTCTGCTGAATCCGTCAAGATGAATAGTTGAAGACTTGAACTCTATTATTAAATAGATCAATATCTGAATACTTGAAATGCCACTTCCAAGTTTCAGATGTATATTTTGAATCTTGATACTCAGTCTGGATGCAAACTCGTTGTTCATCAGTGACCACACTAAATTTTCATAACTTCTTTTTTTTTATTTTACCATCTTCGCATAGGGTCGACTGAGTACGCGTATATAGTAGGTAGTTATGATTCAAGTTTTGATTTTCTTTTCCCTCTACTATGATATACGATGACTGCCGACTTTTGCTTGCAGAAACAATGAATTTCGATGCGAATGATATCAAATACAAGAGTGACCTATTAACAACAATCGAAACTAAACTAATCAAAGATGGTTACGTTCGAATACAATTTAGTGAGGATGATCTTCCAAGTGATCACTATGAAATTAAAGAAATTGAATCTTTCTTTGTTGATTTCATCATGAAATTGGGTGGCAAATGCTTGACTCATAATGCCGAAGAAAACTCATTCGTCTCGCACGTGCGACCATTATCATCCACCTCTGACATTCAACATCCACTAGCACGATCTCAGACCGATGATGAATTTCCATTTCACACCGACTGTTCATATGAATCAAATCCACCAGAATATATGGCATTGTTTGTCTTAGAACAAGATCAATTAGGTGGTGGACAATTCGAAGTTATTCAAGTATCAGACATTATCAATGAGTTATCCGAAAAAAGTAAAACAACTCTATTGACGGAAAACTTTAAAATTGCTGTCCCCATGGAGTTTCGGAAAGTGAAGGATGTTGATCACATCTATGGATTGATTCTTCTCGATCATAATCAAATTCGATATCGTCCAGATATTGTTCTTGATCACAAATCTAACGTCTTAAATGAACTTGATTCAATTATCAGTAGAGCTCCAAAACATGTACCAAAATTGGAAAAATATACCATGATTCTCTTGAATAATCGAAAATTTCTTCATGCTCGTACAAAAATTCTCGATCCTCATCGTCATCTACTTCGAATTCGATTTAACAAACCAGCTCCATATGATGTTTTTTCTATTTATAATGAAACTAAATTACGTTCCGAATATTTAACGTTACCACATACCCTGCTCGACTATTTCAATGAACAACATACTCGTTTATACAAGACCTTGAAGTTAATTGTTCAACAATATCATCAGGCAACAGAAGTTGGTGCAGAAATTCGACGTACATTTCAATTTGAACAAAAAATTCATAATCTTCTTTGTCAATTGAATGTTCATCGTCCAGACTTCAATATCGGAAATTATCGACCAGATGTTTTGTTCACAAAAGGACGTTCTTTCACTATGAATGGCAAACATCGATTTGAACCAAAAATTTGTGAAATTAATGGTCGATTTCCACTGAATGGTTTTCTCTTTTCAGCAGCAATTTGTCCTGGAGATAATAATAATCAAATTTCAGTGAATTTCGATACTATGCTTGATACTATCGTTAAATCTACTCAATTCGATACTGTAAAATCGATGACAATTCTAAAATCGAAAGAACGTGGTTTTGATATACATCTTTTTCAAAAATACTGGATAAATAAATATCATCAAAATTGTAATATAATTCATCCTGATCAAGTTCATGTTGTAAATGGACAATTATGTGTTCGAAATAATGAATATCCTATTCAACAATTGATTATGGAATTGCATCAAGATGAAATCTTGAATTTTTCAGATGAAATTCTTCATACATTTATTCACAATACTCAGCTACGATATATAAACGATTTACGAACAATTTTTCTTGTGCACGATAAACGTATGTTCTCTCTTCTATCCAATCAACCATTTTTAGATGCACTTTGGAAATTTGATTCTGATCAGACAAAGACTTTAACACAACTAATACCTACCACCTATGTTATTGGTCAAATGCCATCTTATGTTCGAGAATATGTCTTGACAATGAAAAACAACTGGTGCATCAAACCAAATCTTGGAGGCAAAGGAGAAAATATGAGCATAGGTAAAACCATATTGATGTTTATCTGTAATTTTCTTCTTTCAAAGAAAAAAAAAACACATAACATCAAAATCTATATTGACCAATGATTTAATTTTATAATGAATTTAGGTACAGATGTTTCAAAAGAAGATTGGTCTCGTCTCTTGTTGGATATGAATCATCAAGAATGGATTGTTCAACAGTATCAAGAATCAGTTCAATACGAATCTATGAATCTATCAGGAATGTTATTCTGTTGTAATAATCATACTTTCAATCTTGGACCTATTCGATTATCTTCAAACAAGATTGTTAATATTTGTCATGGTGGTTATTTCATTCGACCTTTTGTTCATCGTCGACATATACATTGTTCTGAACAAGGTGAAATTCTTACTAAAGCAGAACTACATAAACAATTGAAATTATCCAGATTAAACCAACCACATTGGAATAGAAACGTCTATCTGTCATCGTCAGGTGGCAGTGGTGGAAAGCGGCTATTCTTTGCTACAGATATTCAAGAAAATCAACGACAGCGAGAAATTTTAGTTGACATGATGCTTTCAAAGAATGTTCTCTCTGATATGGATGTTTGTCTCAATCTGTTTCAGTTTGAAGAGATGTATCGATCATTAGAAATTTTCAATGACTTCTGTTCATTGGCTTATTGTACTGTTTTACCCATGGGTTCTGATGTCGAAGATGATAAAGTTCTCAATATCATAGAACATTTTCGACCGAATGTTCTTATGGGTTCGCCATATCGACTTATGCAATTGGCTCTATTTATTGAAAAACATTATCCAACAAATAAAAAAATTCATTTCGAAAAGATATTTTTTGCTTGTGAACCATTAGATAATCTTAAACGAGATTATTTCAAACGCGTGTTTCAATGCTCCATGTGTTTGGGTTTTTATGGATCGGCTGAAGCTGGTGTTTTCGCTTGTCAAACACCAGAATATGCTACGACTCGATTATATATGTATCCGAAAGAATTAGTACAAATTGAAATTGATAATGGACAGATTATCGTAACAAATCTTGTTCGACGACAAAATCAACTGATTCGATTCAATAGTGGTGACCTTGGCCGATTAATACCAACCAATGACAACGAAAAATATGGATTTATTGAAGTTTGGCAAAGTCAACGACTAATAGATCTCACTCCTGGCTCAATAATGAAATCGGATATCGAAGAATTTATGAATCAATTTGATCTCATCGAATGGCAACTAATAATAGAAAACGAGCCGCATCGCAGCGATCGAGTAATGTTAACATTTCGCTGTGTTGAAAAGACGACTACGAATATCGAACATATGAAAACACATATGAACAATTATTTAACACGTTGTTTAGATAGTTCATCTCCGATAGAAGATCACTTGACTATTCGATTCGAATTGATTCCGTATGAGGCATTGATTCGAGATCAGACATCGAATAAATTGCTAAAAGTGATCGATAGACGTTTCTAGTGCGAAAAATATTCTAGTCTTTTAATGAAACGAATATTGGTATCTCTAAAAATGTACACGTTTGTTTCGCGTTGGCTTGAATACTTCAACTCATCGTCTGTATAATGCTGGACAGCGTTCGATGATCGGAATGTGAATTTAGGTGAAAAGATCTTCTTGGTAATGTCTCTCTATCGGATAATTCATAGTGACAAGAATTGTCTTTCTAGAATCATCATATTGTAGGCCTAATTAAAGTATCTGTGTGTTGAGATCTGCTGATGCAAAAAAAAAGAGAAAGA